CTCAGGTCTGGAACCAGCCCAAGTGCCCAAAAATAGATCAGTAGATAGAAAAGCCCACTGAAGATAAATGATTGCAATTGTATAAGTAATGCCTCCACCAACTTAGACAAAACTAACGTTTGCTGTCAGTTCAGGGCTGTGGGCCCCACTGACACCTGGGTCCTGGCTCAGGAGGGGAGGAGGTCACCACTGAGGACAAGGGTCCTTCATACAAACACTCTGGGGAAAGGGTGAGGGTCCCGACAGGTTCTTTTGTCAGCAAAGACATTAGCCCCTCCACCTGGGGAGAATTCTAAGGACCACAGGATGGGGTGAGCCTGCTTCAGCAGGGGAGTCCAGGAGAGTTTGGGCTGAGGACACTGTCACTCCAGAGGAAAAGAGTTATTAGAGCTGATATCGCCCGTGGTGCTGGGAACATGTTACTATCTTGTTATTAGAATCTCCACACCTACACCCACCAGCAGCAAACAAGGATTCCCGCTGGGGGTGTTGGCACAGCCTGAGGAGAATTAATGGCCAGTTCCAAAGCTGGAGAGAAAAGGCAATGTCTATAGACGTCCTGGCCTAGTGGTTCCCATGAAGCATAAGCACATGGCGCTGCAGGAGTGGGTTCTAGAGGAGAAACATTCCAGAAACAAGATCACTGAAAATCTCATACCTGTTGTGCATAAAACGGTAAACAAAACTCAGTCCTTGGTTCTAAAGAGTTTATTTACCAACCATGGTCTGAGAAGTACCTGACAAAACACACAAACCCACAGAGATGAGAGAGCGTGACACCCATGTTGCCCAGAGTGAAGGCAAACTCTTATTTCCAACACAAAGAAGAGCAATATTTATGTAATATATTTATATACGTGAGTTATGTACATGTGTAAGTATTTACAAACCTACGTACACTTTGAGACAAAGACATTTCTCATTTGACTATTAAGTTTCCACTTGGGTGGCACCTCTAAAGTGAATGGTGAAAATCAGTAGTGTAGATTGATGACGTCTTCTTAGAACACCTAAATTAAATGAAAATAAAAAAAGGAAATGAAAGTGGAAAGAAATGCTTAGAAAATGAAAATCGTTGTGTTCCCTATTTAAGGGCCATGCTTAGAAAGAAGGTCACTGCACAACTTCTGGCCCCAGGTTGTTCCCCGGACGCCCAGCTCAGCCAGGCCAGCAGCACCCTCGGTCGCCCATGGCCCTCCTGCTCCCTCTACTCACCGCCCTGGTGGTGTTCAGCGCTGGCCCCGGGCGAGCTCTGGGCTGTGACCTGCCTCAGGACCACGCCCTGCTCAGCAGGGAGCG